AATAACCTGTACACAAACCAAAAAGCAGTCATATTAACAGAAAAAGGGGGAAATGAATAGTTTAAAATCAGGAAAGAAAGGTGTGTGCCAAGGCTGTATTTTTCCACCATACTTATTCAATCTGTATGCTGAGCAAATAATCCGAGAGCTAAATTACATGAAGAAGAACATGGCATCACAGGATTGGAGATAGACAAATTAACAACTTGCCATATGCAGATGATACAACCTTGCTTGCTGAAAGGGAAGAGGATTGTGTAAATACTGATAAAGATCAAAGACTACTGACATTGTACCTCAATGCAAAGAAAACAAAAACTCTCACAATTGGACCAATAAACATTATGATTAAAAATAGAGAAAGGGCTTCACTATGCTTGGCTCTACCATCAACACTCATAAAAGCAGTAGCCATGAAATCAAACAACATATTGCATTAGGCAAATATGATGCACAAGACCTCTGTAAAGTGTTCAAGAGCATAGAAAACAGCTTGAGAACTAAGGTGCATCTGACACCAGCCACTGTACTTTCAATAGCCTCATACACATGTGAAAGTTTTGCCAGGAACAAGAAAGATGGTAGAAGAACTGATGAATTTGATCAAAGTACCATAGCCTGCCAGAAAAAAACAAATAGAAGAAGTACAGCCTTAGTGCTGCTTAGAAACCAGGATGGTCAGATTTTGTCTTTCATACTTCTGACATGGATATCAGGATGGACCAATCCTGGAGAAAAACATCATGCTTGGTAAAGTGAAAAAAGGAAGACTCCCCGCCCCGCCCCCCGGAAATGGATTGGCACAGTGGTAGCAACAATGGGCTCAAACATAACAACAACAATTGTTAGAAGCATGCAGGACAGGACAGTGCTTCTTTCTGTTTTGCACAGGGTCCTTATAAGTCAAAACTCACAGAACAGAACCTAACAGCAGCAAAGGCCTCACCCCAGGAAAACTCTCCTTACTTGGGATCAGGCTGTGAGGGAGCTAAAGGTGCTGCACTCCACCTTCAGTTTTTGTTGTGTTGTATTTTTCAAACTGATTAGTTTATCAGATCATATGGGAACATTACATAACGACCACATTACATCATCATGTAACTGCCAAGCCACTGAGAATAATGGCCCAGTCTAGTTGACAAATATTTGGGATTGACAAAATTCAATCCATGACCATTTGAAAGCAAAGACTCAAACAGAATCTTGCCACCAATGTTCACTGCAGTACTAGCCACAGTAGCCAAAAAGTGGAAACAGCCTAAATACCCATCAACAAATGATTGGAGCACCACAAAAAAAATACACAACAAAAAGACAGCAATCAATTCATACCTATTGATAATTACATGAATTAAATGCACCATGGATAGTCAAGAGTAAGAGAATAACAAAATGAATAAGAAAACAGGATCCTTCATTGTGTTGTCTACAAGAGACACATCAAAAAAATGAAGACAGCTTAAATGCCCATCAACAAGAGAATGGCTAACCAAACTTCAGTACATATACAAAGTGGAATACTATATACAATGTTGAAGAATAACAAAGAATCTGAAAAACATTTCAGAACATGAATCTGGAGAACATTAAGCTGAGAGAAATTAGTTGATCACAAAATACCAAATATTGTATGGGAACAATGTGGTCAAAAGCTAAGAAAAGGTTTTCTTGATAAAAGAAACATTCTATGATGGTCATGGAGGAGAGGAGGAATTATTCACTAGTTACAAGGAAGACACATGTTAGTATGAGTGACATGGCAGGCAACATATAACAAGAGGAACATATAAGAAGAGGAAAGATGAAGGTAGTGGGAGACACAGGGAAGAATGCAAGAGTTAAAGCGAAAAGAGGTAAATACTATTAAATGATGGCTCAGGGAAGGGACTGCAATCATTGTAATGAAGCAAAGTTGGTTTGTTGATATGACTTGCTAAATGTAAAACTGATCATCTGTTCTATAAATCTTCCATCAATAAACAATAATTTAAAAAGAAAAAGACCAAAAAAAAAAAAAAGCCAGAACTTATTAGTGAGGGGGAAAGCACTTATGGAGTACTAAGTTTTGGTTTACAATGATGGAAAAATCATATGGCTTAGGGATAGCGTCTCAAAGCCAATTAACATTTCAAATAAGGAGGATGTCTGTAAAAAGCCAATTAATAAAAGCTGTGTGTGATAGTTATGGTTTTGTGTGAACTTGACAGGGCCAGGATTCCTAGTGGTTTGGCAGTAGACAGGTAGCTATCCCCCATATGTGATTTAATGTGATGAAGCAATCAAAAGATGAAGGGTGGGATGTTGTTGCTATTGCTAGGGACTGTTGAGTCAGGTCCGTCTCACAGCAACTTTATGAACAACAGGACACAACACTGCCCGATCCTGCACCATCTTTACACAGTTGTTGCTATATTTGAATCCACTGCTGCTAACACTGTTCCAATCCTTCTTGTTGCAAGTATTCCTCTTCTTTATTGACCCTTGACTTTATTAAGCATAATGTCCTTCTCCAAGGATTGATTCCTCCTGATAATATGTCCACAGTATGAGAGAGAAAGTCTGGCCATTCTGGCTTCTAAGGAGCTTCTTTCTAGTTGTATTTCTTCCAACACTGATTTCTTTGTTCTTCTGGCAAACCACGGTACTTTCAATGTTCATCTTTAACACCTTAAGTCAAATCCACCAATTTTTCTACAGTGACAGCAGCATTAGATAATGAAGACTTAGTAAAACATATTTATAACAATGATTTAAAAAGAAAAAAAAAAAAAAAAGAGTATGTGCTGAGGCTGCGTACATACAACCACATATAACATATAATTTTTTAGTCCTTGCATTGAAAGATTAGGGTCATGGTTTCACGAGTTCCTGTTGTCCTGTTGTAAGGTGTCTTCAAGTCGGCACCAACTCATAGCAACCTTATGCACACCAGAATGAAACACTGCCTGGTCCCGGACCAACCTCACAATCATTGCTACATTCAAGCCCATTGCTCCTGCCACTGTGTCAATCCATCTCATTGGAGGTCTTCCTCTTTTGCTCCAACTTCCCACTTTACCAAAAATGATATTCTTCTCCAGTGACTGGTCACCCCTGATAATATATCCAAAGTATGAGAGACAAAGTCTGGCCATCCTAACTTCTATGGAGTATTCTGGCTATACTTTGTCCACCACACATTGATTTGCTCTTTTGTCAGTCCATGGTACTTTTAATATTCTCCTCAGCCACCAAAACTCAAACACATAAATTCTTCTACAGTCTTCCTTATTCACTGTCCAATTTCCACACGCATATAAGGTTATTGAAAATACCATGACTTGGATCAGGTGCACCTTAGTTCTCAAACTGACATCTTTGCTTTTCAAAAGACATCTTGTGCAGCAGATTTGCCTAATGCAATATGTCACTTGATTTCTTGACTATTGCTTCCATGAGTGTTGATGGTTGATACAAGCAAAATGAAGGCTTTGACAACTTCAATCTTTTCTCCATTTATATGGCTGTTGTTTATTTACACAATGGTGAGTATTTTTGTTTTCTTTAAACTGAGATGTAACCCTAGTGAAGGCTGTGGTCTTTGAGCTTCATCAGTAAGTATTTTAAGTCTTCTTCATTTTTAACAAGCAAGGTTGTATCATCTACATATCACAGATTGTTAATGAGCCTTCCTCTAATCCTAATGCCAAGTTTTTCAGCTTCTCGGATTATATGCTCAGAATACAGATTGAATAAATATAGTAAAAGAATACAACCCTGGAATACATCTTTTCTAATTTTAAACCATTTGGTGTTCCCTTGTTCCATTCAATCAACTGCTTCTTGGTTCATGTACAGATTCCTTGTGAGCACAATTAAATGCTCTGGAATACTCATTCACCACAATGTTGTCTGTACCTTGTCATGATCCACACAAACGAAAGCCTTTGTGTCATCAATAAAAAAGAGGCAAACATCTTTCTGGTATTCTCTGCTTTCAGCCAAGATCCATCTGACATCAGCAATGATACCATTCATTCTATCTCCTCTTCCAAATCTGGCTTGAATCTAATAATTAGTCTAATCCATCTCATGTTTAGCATGTCTGTTTTCTCTTTGAGTCGTGTCTGTGGTCTAAACTTACAAGTAGCCATCCACAACACAATAACTGATCTCTATTCACCCAGACCAACAGAGGAAGATGGAAGAGGAAACGGAATGTGTGGCTGAATGCCTCTATGAGCAAATTCTTCCTTGGCCATAAGAACAGAAGAACCAGGTGGTACCAGGCTACCATTTAAAGATCCTATTTTTTTAAATCTTTCTCAAAAGGGGGAAATGCAGAACAGAATTTCAAATTCTCATGAGATCTAGATTTTCCTTCAAGTAATGGTCCAAATTTTGTTTGCAGATATACAAACGTTTCTATTTCTGTCTCTGCTCTTCCGTGAGTTGTTTCAGTATCCATCTCACATACACTTTCCAAACCCAAGTCTGTCGTGGATTACTTCATAGGCAAAGCCATGGCTGATCTGCAAATGATTTGCCACATAATCCACTGTCGTTCATCTATTCAACAGAATCATTTCACATGCACACTCAGTGCTGTCATCCATCATGGATGTGGATGGGCACTTTAATATAACCAGAGTGCAGATCATTTTGACTCACCCTCATATACGAATGTTCTGGCAAAACTCGCTTTGTCTTTCTCTCAAGCCTACATTCATTTTGTCATCCTCTGACTTTCGGCTCCTGGGATATAAGCCAGTACCCTGCAGGCTGACCTTCAGATTTTGGGTTTGCCAGTCCCTGCAACCATGCAAATCAAGTTGCCTGCCCCACAAGTTTTGGACTTGCCAGTCTAAACAACTGTGTGACCCATTTCCTTAATCTATATATACATACACTAGTTTTACTCCTCTAGAGAGCCCAGCCTAAGACAGTCATTATATATGACATTCAAATGAGCTAAGCACTCTATCTTCAAATATAAAAATATTGAGTTGCTCAATACATACCATTCACAAGGCTGAAGGGATCGAAATGCCTTAAAAGAAGCATCCATTCCAGCAAAATCCCAAAACTTAACATCATAGTCATATCCTCCAGTCACTAAACGGGCACCGGAGGGATCCAGACCCAAAGCAGAAACCTGGGGGGAGGGAGACATGGAAAAAATTTAATTGGACAAGAGCTCCTTATAGTATACTTTGCCCCATTTCTTTTCTTTAGCTCCAGGACCTATCTTACAGGCATTAGAAAGTACAGACAACTGACTGTTGCTACTTCTAAAAATTGGGACTGGACACCACTTTCTATATAATTTGACTTTTTTCATAATGAGTATTATTTGTTTGGAAATAAAGACAGGAAACATGCTTTTAATTACCACCTTGTTCCCAACTTATCAGCCATTTAAACAGAATAACTACCATTGTAATTACATATGATAAACTAAGTTGCTCTAGTATATTAGTAGAAATTTCACAAATAGTCTAGCTTTTTCAATAAAAAATCTGCAGGTAACTTTTTAAATCATTTAACTACATCTGAATGAAGACAATACAAACATAAAATCAACAAAATGAGAACCTATAAGAAATCTATTTAACAAAGCATACATTATTATCTTGTACAGATGTGTAACTGACTCAGAAGTGAATTTATGGCTAAGCATATTGTAATAGCATTTATATTGGTCCCATAAAATATTTTCTTTTCCTGTGAACTTTCCTAGACCCAATTCACATGTGAATACCCAATCTGCAACTCACTGTTCTTGCACTACATTTACCATTCTGTCAAAACAGGAAGTCCATGGATATACTGCTCTCTCCGAAGAAAAGAACTGCAACAAGACTATTTAATGTGGTTATCATGTGTATGAAGCAATAAGAGGATCCAAGTTTTAGATAAATGAAGTCATTATGAATAAAGTTCTCTTAATAAACAGTCCTAAGTGTAAGTAATGTGATCTAGTTACTGTAATTAAAACTATATATTGATAAAATCATTTATATTCATTTCAATTACACTAAAACATGCAAAAGCCAGGATCTATGTAAGGCAGAAACCTGTCAGAGAAGGAAAACTTAAATATTTTCCACTATTAGAGAATAAAAGAAAAGTGTTAAGACTGCATCTTGTCAAAAGCAGAAAACTTGAGAGACCCGAAAAAAATAAGGTAGGCCTGTGGAGTTCTAGCTACCAAAAGTTTCACTGTACTGAAAAACTATAGAAAGAATCAACAGGACAAGAAACTGGTTCTTTGAAAGGATTAATAAAATTGACAAACCACTGGAAAACTAACAAAAGAAGAGAGGGAGAGGACACAAATAACTCACATTAGAAACCACATGGGGGATGTCACAATGGAACCAAATGAAATCAAAAGGATAATAACAGAATACTATGAAGAGTTGTACTCCAACAAATTCAAAAATTTAGACGAGATGGATATATTTCTAGAAAAACATGACGTACCCACACTTACTCAGAATGAAGTAGAAAATTTGAATAAACCCATATCAAAAGAAAAAATTGATCAGGTCATCAAAAAACTCCCAACCAAAAGAAATCCAAGCTAAGATGGCTTCACGGATGAGTTCTACCAAGCATTCAGGGAAGAACTATCACCAATTGTACTCAAATTATTCCACAATATAGAAGATGATGGAAAACTCCCTAATACTTTTTATGAAGCAAGCATAACCCTCATACCAAAATCATGGAAGGACATCACTAAAAAAGAAAACTATAGACCAATATCCCTCATGAACACAGACACAAAAATTCTCAACAAAATCCTACCCAACAGAATCCAGGGAAATATCAACAAAATAATTCATCATGACCAAGTGGGTTTCATAAAAGGGATGCAAGGATGGTTCAACATTAGAAAAACAATCAATGTAATCCATTATATAAATAAGAAAAAGGAAAAGAACCACATGATCATATCAACTGATGTAGAAAAGGCATTTGACAAAATCTAACATCCATTCCTGGTAAAAACACTCAACAAAGTAGGAATTGAAGGAAAATTCCTCAACATAATCAAGAGCATATATACAAAACCAACAGCCTACATCACTCTTAATGGTGAGAAACTGAAAGCCTTCCCTCTGCAAACAGGAACCAGACAAGGATGACCTCTATCACCACTCCTATTCAATATTGTGGTAGAAGTTTTATCCAGGGCTATACAGCATGCTAGAGAAATTAAAGGCATACAAACAGGCAAACAAGAAGTAAAACTTTCTCTATTGGCAGACGATATGATCCTATATATAGAAAAACCCAAAGACTCAGTTAACAAACTACAGGAACTCATCAGAAGATTCAGCAAAGTGGCAGGGTGTAAGATCAACATACAAAAATCAGTTGGATTTCTCTATAGCAACAACGATAGCAATGAAAAAGGACATTAGGAAAGCATTATCATTTACAATAGCCACACAAAGGATGATATTTAGGAATAAATGTAACCAGAGAAACAAAGGACTTATACAAAGAAAATTACAAAACACTACTACAAGAAACCAAAAGAGACCTACAGAAGTGGAAGAATATACCATGTTCCTGGATAGGAAGATTCAACATCATGAAAATGTCAGTACTGCCCATAGCAATTTATACATACACTGCAATCCCAATCCAGATTCCAACAATATTCTTCAAAGAAATAGAAAAGACAATTACTAACTTTACATGGAAAGGAAAGAGATCCAAGATAAGTAAAGCACTACTTAAGAAGAAGAACAAGGATGGGGATCTCTCACAGCGAGGATCATTCCCACCCCCCTCCACACATAGAGAAGACAGGGATGGGCAACTTGGACATTGGCTACCCAGAATGGGGGAGGGAGAGGGCTACAGAGGCAAGAAGTGAATGGCTTACAAGCTTTCAAGAAGGAACCTAGATGCAGAGAACAGGGAGCAAGGTAGAATCTCCACTGAGTAGTATCCATTCTGTATAGTCGGGGCTGATGAAAGGAATTACGGATAGGTCTCTTGCGATACAACAGCAAATAATTGTTATTAGGACTGATTGTAAGGGCTAGAAATGTAAAGGTAGACATTTTGTGGCAAAGGGAGGGGAGTGATTAGCTTTGCAGCCAAGGAGCGCAGGTCCCTGGGACCATCAAGGGAGAAGAGCGGAGAACGGGACCCCACCCATAGAAGCAGTGATGCCAGGGATGGAGGTAGAGACGATGACGTGGGGAGATGGAGCGGTTGGGGACTTTGGACCCAGAGAGGAAGAGGGGCTCTGTGCAGACGACTGGGGGGCAGACTTGTGGGGTATACCCTCTGGTTAGTGGATGATGCGTGGAGGGAACTGTAACCATGCCAAGGAAATTATATACGACGGAATCAATGTGAAGCTAATGTCCTCCCATGCAAACTATCACATAATTCACAATACAGCATTTAAAAATAAAGAAAGAAACCTTCTAGAGAAAGAAAAAAAAAAAAAAAAAAAGTTTCACCGTACTACCAACAAGCACTGATTGTAGAATATAAGGAAATTGTATATAAATAGAATAATTTATTATGTTTAAATTAGATATGCACTGTAAATGTCCTTTTATGCTAATTTTCCATACATCTCTCTTGTAATTCAACAGTTGTTCCACCTTCTGCTAAACTGAGCCAAACAGGGTTCATTACACTACACTACAGGCCGAAATTACATATATTCATTGGCAGTTTGCCTTTTCTACGTTGTCCTTCCCTTCTACAGTGTAAACTCCACACAGAAAATGACTGCATCTATACCCAGCACAGTGCATAGCACAAATTAGGCACTCTAATAAATATATGTTTAAAGAAAGGAAGGAGGAGGTCAAAGTCAAACTGCATGCAACACAAACAAGAAATGTAGGCTGACATCCAAACTCACTGATGCCGAGTTGATTCCAACTGACAGCAACCTTATAGGATGGAGGAGAACTACTCCTTAGAGTTTCCAAAATTAGAACTCTTCATGGGAGCAGAGAGCCTCAGTTTTCTCCCACAGAGTGGCTGGGGATTTTGAATTGCCAAGCTCAAGGTTAGCAGCCTAATACCTAGCCCACTATGCCACCAGGGTTCCTTAAATCTGACTCATACAAGATAAATTCACCACTATCAAGAATGAACAACAGGGTAGCAAGTCCCCATCATCATCAACTCATCAGTGCCTGTCCTCACCAGTCCTGTGCAGTCTCTGCTCTGCCTATGGGTCAGACGCCTTGCATAGTTCTCCTGGTTCTCTGTTTACTACACTATACAAACAGTGAACAGAGAACTAATTGCACTCACACTTCCGGTCTCTACCACATCCACCAAGAGACAGATAGTGAGTGCCCAATAATACACCAATATATAATCACCAAGTAAATTTAAATGCCACACCATAATGTCTCGGAGAAAACAGACGATTTTAACTTACACAAAGAAACAAAAGACAGAGCACCTCAAACAAGTCACCAAAATACAGAGTCAAAAAATGTAACACCAGAAATAGCAAAGGAACTACATGACAAAGAGTTTCAAAGTATGCTACTTAGGCAACTTCAATTGATTCTGAGATTAAGAAAACTACAGATGAAATCAAGGAAAACATCGACAAAACTATAGACAAATTAAGGAAACAAAATCATTGAAAAACTGGGAACCATACAAGAACAACAACCAGAAAGTCAGACATTAACAATATGACTTCAGAAACAAATGATACACTGAGAGGACAAAGAAACAGAACTGAGTCAATGGAAACATGAATTATTGAGCTTGAAATAAAAATCTCTCAATATTCATCTTTTAGAAGAACAATCAGAACAAAGAACAAAACAAAAAAAATCCAAAGGAAGCCTAAGATTTATGTAGCGTATTATCAAGAGGAAGAACCTACATGTGATAGGAATTCCAGAACAGGAAGAGACAAAAAAAACCCATAGAGAATATTGTCTAAGAGTTCTTTTTTTTTTTTTTTTTTTTGGGGGGGGGGTATTCCCTAACAACAGGAAAGATGAAAAGATAGTCAATTAAGAAATTGAACAAACTCAAACAGGATAAATCCCAAAAGAAAAATACCGAAACATATTATAATCAAACTTTGCAAAACCAAAGACAAGGAAAGAACCTGAGAGCAATTCAGGAATAACAAAA